GAGGAAGGGAGAGGAAGAGAGAGACAGAAACATCAATGATGAGTCATTGACTGGGTGCCTCCTGCATGCCCCCTGCTGGGGGATCAAGCCCAAAACCTGGGTATGCGCCCTGATGGGGAATCAAACTTCAATCTCCTGGATCATAGGTCATTGCTCAACGGCTGAGCCACGCCAGTTGGGCTACATTCCCTTTTTCACCCAGCCCCCCCAACCTTTCTCCAATCAGCAACCATCAGTTTGTTCTCTCCATCTATGAGTCTGTTTTGTTCATTCATTTTTAGTTCTTTAGATTTCACTTAGCATAACAGGTCCATCTGCGTTGTCACAGATGGTAAGATTTCATTCTTTTTTTATGGCCGAGTAATATTTCATTACACGTATGTACTACATCTTCTTTATACACTTATCTGTTGATGGACACTTGGTTTGCTTCCATATTGTGGCTATTGTAAATAACTCTGCAATGAAAATAGGGGTACATGTATCTTTTCTAATTAGTGTTTTTGGTTTCTTCAGATATGTAGGAGTGGAATTGCTCGATTGTAAGGTAGTTCTGTTTTTAATTTTTTGAGGAACCTCCATGCTGCTTTCCATAGTTGCTGCAACAATCTGCATTCTCACCAACAGTACACTTTTTATCCACATCTTTGCCAACACTTGTTTTTGCTGATTCTGTTGATAGACATTCTCACAGGTGTGAGGTGATATCTCACTGTGGTTTTAATTTGCGTTTCTCTGATGATTAGTGATGCTGAGCATCTTTTCATGTCTATTGGCCACCTATATGTCCTCCTTGGAGAAGTGCTTATTCAGGTCCTCAGCCCCTATTTTAATAGTACTGTTTGTTTGTTTTCGTGTTATCTGAGTTAATATACATAATTGTTTAAATAGTTAGCTTTTGCAGGTTTATAGAAGGAGCTTCACCAAACACAAGCTGTTTTTCATTTCTGTGAACTGTACATTGAGATCTTTTTCTAGAAATATATAAAATAAATGGAATTAACAAAGAAAGATTCAATCTTGAGTTCCATATAACCTAGGAGAGTTATTATGCTTCTCTGGCTCCTAGGTAGATAAGGATTCAAGCTGGGATGTTTAGAGCAAATGAAAGTTTTGCAAAAATCTTCAGATAGTCGTGGCCAGCGTGCTCAGTGGTTAGAGCGTCAGCCCGTGCACCTGAGAGTCATGGGTTCAGTTCTGATCAAGGGCACGTACCTGGGTTGTAGGTTCGATCCCCAGCCCCAGTTGGGGCACGTGCAGGAGGCAACTAATTCATGTGTCTCTCTCACATGGATCTTTCTCTCTCTCTCCCCCTCCCCCATTCCTTTCCACCCTCTGTAAAGCAATGGAAAAAATATCCTCCAGTGAGGGTGAACAACAATAAAAAAATCTTCAGATAGCCAGTGTATCATAATGACTTAGTACAGTCACTGTGCACCAAAAGTTTCACATATTTAACTCTAAACAGCAATGAGATTTTGGAATAGCTGTGTGTTTAAGTCCATTTAATTTGGTGGGAGTGGGCAGTTGGAAAAAAATCTACATGATTTGAAGAAAAAACAGAGACTTTGGAGTCAAACACTGTTTGAATCCTGCTCTGCTACTCCTATACGACCTTGGGCAATCTCCTTAACCTCTCAGACTCAGTTTCCTTTTTATAACACGTGTTTTGCCTGGCACATAGCACTCAAAAAATGTTAGATACTTTTCTGCCCATACAAAGGTAGAGTTATAACCAATGTAGTCCTTTGGGAATATTAATCTATTGCTACAGTACAGGATACAATGGATAAGAAAAAGAGAAAGGACATAAAATAAGCAGTAAGGAGGATCAGAAATAAGCTAATAGTAGCCTGAACCAAGTAGTGAATGGCAATGGGAATTGGAAAGAAGAGATGAATGAAAAACATGAGGAAGAAAGAATGCACAGGATTAAGTATGAGGGCGAAGAACAAGAAAAGAATTAAAGACATAAACAAGATTTCAAGATTATGTGAGACTAGAGCAGTGATACAACCAGAGCTTGGTTGTGTAACAACAAATGATAAAGTATCAATACAAATTAAAACAGTTGTTTCCCAGATACAACAGCATTTTTTCCTTAGACCACTTGTCCAGATTTCTTAGACCAATAGAAATATAATATGAACCATAAATTTAATTTTAAATTTTCTAGTAGCCACTTTAATAAGTAAATTTAAAAAATATATATATCTTTATTGATTTCAGAGAGAGGAAAGGAGAGGGAGAGAGAGAGATAGAAACATCAATGATGAGAGAGTCATTGATCGGCTGCCCCCTGCACGCCCCCTACTGGGGATCAAGCCTGCAACTGGGGCATGTGCCCTGACCAGGAATCGAGCCCTGATCGCCTGGATCCTGGGTTGATGCTCAACCGCTGAGCCATGCCCGGCTGGGCAGTAAAATTAATTTTAATACTATATTTCATTTATCCCAATATATCCAAAATATTATTTCAACATGTAACCAATAGAAAAAATACTGAGATTTTATATTCTTTATTCTCTTTTATGTTTAGTCTTCAAAATCTGATGTTTATTTTAAACTTACAACATGTCACAATTTGGACTACTCACATATAGTGAATGGCTACCATATTGGACAGCACAGGCTTAGAGTATTAGATACTATAATCAATTTTTATTTCCAGATGAGTAGGTAAACAAAATTTGGTAATGTTACACTACTCAGCAATAAAAATGAACATACTACTGCAACATGGATGAATCTAAAATGCTTTATGCTAAGTGAAAAAAATAGATTCAAAAGGCTACTATGTAATTCTATTCTATATGACATTATGGAAAGAGCCAAAAAATAAGAACCAAAAACAGGTGAGTGGTTGCTTGAGGCTGGGAGAAAAGGAAGGACTTGACTATGTTCGCAAGGGAATTTTGTGGGATGATGGACCCCGTTTTAGATCTCATAATTATGGTGATGGTTACATGACTCTGCATTTGTCAAAACTTACAGAACTGTATAATAAAGGAGGTGATCTGTTGTAAATAAATTATATTTCAATAAATCTGTTGCTAAAAAATATATTACAGCCCGGCTGGTGTGGCTCCGCGGATAAGCATGGACCTATGATCCAGGAGATCTCAGTCNCGGCTGGTGTGGCTCCGCGGATAAGCATGGACCTATGATCCAGGAGATCTGTTAGTCCTGGTCCCGGCTCGGTCCCCAGCAGGGGGCATGCAGGAGGAAGCCGATCAATGACTCTCATCATTGATGTTTCTCTCTCTGCCCCTCTCCCCCTTCCTCTCTCTGAAGTCAATAAAGACATTTTTTTTTTTTTAAATGTATTACCTGCCCAGCCGGGCATGGCTTAGTGGTTGAGCATCGACCTAGGATCCAGGTGATCGGGATATGATTCCCAGTCAGGGCACATGCACGGGTTGCAGGCTTGATCCCCAGTTGGGGGTGTGCAGGAGGCAGCCGATCAATGACTCTCTCATCATTGATATTTCTATCTATCTCCCTCTCCCTTCCTCTCTCTGAAATCAATAAAGATATATTAAAAAAAAGTATTACCAGAAGATAATGCTAATTATACAAGACCAAAATATTTTAAAATAGACACTTTTATATGAACACCCTAAAGAGAAGTATGACAGTCATGAAGAATGCATATTTTCTTACTACTAAAATCTCAATACATGTTATGTTACATAAATTTTACCATCACTCAGTCTTACAAAGTAACACTGTATAGTTTATTTTTATTAACACAATGGTATGTAATATAAAAATTCTTAAGTAGGATAATTTACTTAAAATATATTCTCCCCATAGATATGACATCAGAAGCACAAGCAACCAAATAAATTGAACTTCAAAATTTAAAACTTTTGTGCTTTAAAGGACACCATAAAGAAAGTGAAAAAACAACCCAATGAATGGGAGAAATATTTGCAAATCATGTATCTGATGAGAGACTGTATCTAGAATATGTAATGATATCTTACTACTCAATAATTTTAAAATTCCAATTTCAAAAATGGGCAAAGGACCTGAACAGACATGTCTCCAACGAAGGTATACAAATGGCCAATACACATATGAAAAGATCCTCAACATCATTAGTTATCAGGGAAATGCACCTCAAAATCACAATGAGATAACCACTTCAAACCAACAGGATGGCTATTGGAAAAAGGTAATTAACATGTGTTGGTGAGGATGCAGAGAAAAACTGGAACCCTTATACACTGCTGATGGAAATGTAAAAATGGTACAGCTGGTTTGGAAAAAGTTGGCAGTTCCTCAAAAGGTTAAATAAAGGGTGAACCTATGATCCAGCAATTCCACTCCTAGGAATGTACCCAAGAGAAATGAAAATGTCCACGCAAAAACCTGGACATCAATGTTCATAGCAGCATTATTCACAATAGCCAAAAACTGGAAACAACTCAAATGCCCATCAACTGATAAACCGATAAATGTGTCACAGTTATACACTCCATGAAAAGGACTAAAGTGACGGTATGGGCTACAGTGTGGATAAACCTTGAAAACATGTTAAGCTGAAGACGTCAATCTCAAAATACCACACATTGTATGATGCTATGTATATGAAATGTCCAGAATAGGCAAATCTATTGAGATAAAAAGTACATTAGATGTTGCTAGGGCTGGAAGGGTTTGGGGGAAGAGGGATGGGGTACTTGGCTAAAGGGTGTGGGTGTCCTTTTGGAGTGATGAAATGTTCTAAAATTGATAGTGGTGATAGTTGCACAACTCTGTGAATACAATAAAAGCCAATGAATTGTACCCTTTAAAAGGGTGAGATGTGTTATATGTGAGCTATAGCTCAATAAAACTATTTAAAAAAATACTCTCCTATATATGGAGAAAGAGTTTTTAGTCAATACTGACAAAATAACTAAACACTCAAAAGTGGTGTCTATACGAATGTGTAACTTTACTGTTTGAGTGCATCTTTGGCATTAGGTCAGGAAAAATAGCAAAATAATTACCCTTTCTACTGAAGACAGCTGTTGCTGTAATCCATCATATTTTTTGTTTGCTTCTTCAAAAAGAGTTTTATATTTTTCTGCTTGAGACTGTTGTAAATTAATTGTTCGCTGCTGCCTCACACAATCTTCCTCAAAATTTTTTACTTGAGACTTTAAATCCTGAATTTCAGCCTCCTATAGTTATGAAATTATAGATTATGTGAAAAACGCACATGATTTGGATTAAAATATAAAGCAGAAAACAAAAAGGAACGTCATATAATCTTTGATTTTCATCTTCAAAACTGGAAGTCAGATATTTTACTTGTGCTTAATAGCTTACACTTTTAAATCTACTATAGAGAATTATAATTGCAAACAAGTATTTAAAATTCTTTAGCTCTGAAAATTCAACATCTTGGAATAAAGTTCAGTATTCATATATAATTTCTGAATTCAAAATTTAACTGAATTATATTTCAATGAAGCTATTTTAAAAATTTAATCATAATTGCTCCTAAAATGTCTTCTAATATTAGGCATGTATATTGAGAGGTTTTAAAAACTAACCTTTTTATTGCATTCACATACAACATTATCCAATTCCTGCTGCATAACACGGAGTTTGGCCTTCAGAAATCTGATCTGTGCTTCTGTGGATTTAAATAATTATATGTATTGCCTTTCACTGAATCGAAGACATCATCATTTGTAAGAGAGACCATTATATTATGAAAGAACAAAAATGCTCAAGATAGGAATCCAACAGGAGATCCCTGTTTGGGAAGACTAAATACCCCTAATATAAAGGTAAATGAACAAATCCACCCAACAGAAATAAACTTCACATCTCAACAGTGGAACCAAGTAAAGAAAGTGGGGGGGGAAACAAAACCACTCCTGAGAATTTGAGCCACAGGCAGTATTCACATAAGTTTGCATACGCACTTCCTGTTCCAAAGCTCTTCCGAAGTGTGCCCAGTGTTACGGAGCTGATGAACTATGGTTGGCTCTAACCCACCTAGATCTCTCTAGCCTCAACTCTCCTTCTAGCTTCACATAACTTCAGGCTAATAACAATAGAAGGGGAATGATAAATTCAAAACTGTGGCTTCTGCAGTAGTTGGTCTCTAGGGGAAAAGAAGGAAGAAAGAGAGAGCATGATTTTTCCTACTATCTCTTTCCCCAACTTTAGGTCCACAGCACTAACCTCCCCATCCCATTCCAACTTTTGTCTTACAAAGCAATCTATGCTGCTAAACTACTTTTTGATCTTTTCCTCCCCCAGGTAACCCTAGGCAATCACCTGGAATAAAAGAATACAAGAGGAGACACCTAGACTAAAAATTCTCAAGAGAGAGGTAAAAGTGGCAGAGAGGTGATTTAGCAATGAGAAAAAGTAGCAATTTAAGGTAGTCTGTTTGTGCTGGTTCCCTGTATTTGGAAGGAGGAACCCTGTAACAGGGTCATGGTTCACTGTGTACAAGGAACAGCTAACATCAGACCACTGTGTCCTTGAAGGTATCTTAACAGAGACACAAAGGCAACTTCCTGCTTCATTTAACTTCCCTCCTGCAACTAACCCCATAAAGCTTGGATAGGTCAATGAACGTAATAGATGCATAAATGTATTGCTCTTCACTTAGGACTAACTAGCATGCATCACAACAATCATTATACATATAATTGTTGTGATTTTCACAGAATCAGAGAATTTTAAAGTTTATAATCATCTAATACAAACTGCTAAATTTTTAAACTCAGATAATGCTATTATAGAGGGGCTAAGTAACTTGCCTGAACTCACAATTAATTATAGCTCAGCATTAACTATGTACACACATACACTCAACTGTCTTACCTTTTGTTTACAATAGCATTTGTGACTCCTCATAAACATAACAATTTTAGAGGCATTATTAGTAACTAACAATGTTTTTAGATTATCTAAACTTAGTATTATTTTTCTCATTAGAAAAATATGAAGAAAATGAGTTTATAAGAAAAAAAACTATATTAGAAAATTCATTTGATCATTTTACCTGATGCTAGTTATATCTATAATTCATTTATCCTTTTGCCTGTGTTAATTTAATATGCAATAAGTAGAATACAATAATGGTAAGTGAAAAAAACTCAAAGAACCATGTGTTGTTGTCTTTAATTTTAATGTTTTAATGATTAGCTTTGGAGCATTTTAACATTAGTTGAAGAGTGGTCAATGAAACCAACACCATAAAAGTAGAGACTAATTCAATGAAACCCTACTTACCCATGACCCATTTTCAGTAATTACTGACTCATAACCAATTACTTTACTTATAATTCCACTCATTCCTTCCACCACCATGTCCCATTAGATGATTTTGAAACAAACATATCACAATACATTTTTAAATGCAAGAAAAAGTTCCTACATATGTTTTTCTAAGTAATTGTGATATAAAGAAAAGAAAACCTACCTGTTCCAATGTCTTTACTAACACCACAAAAAATATCATCATCTATATAATCAGGTAAGCCTGCTTCTTCTAGTTGCCCTTCAATTTTACTAACTGTTTTTGCAAGAGAAAAGTCTGAGAAATCCTCTGGAATGGCAACATCATTGGCAGTTTGTACATCAGAGTATTTCAATTTTATACTAAAAAAGAAAATTACACATATAAATGTACATTATATATACTTTATATATATTAAAAGAAGGTAAGACTCAGAGATATGACTTTTATCCAAATAACAAAGCATATCAAAGTTACTATAAATTTTAAATGTGATGAAATCTATAATTGATACTTTCAAAGACTATACTATAACAGACTTAGTAGACTTTCAATCTTTATAAATCACACAACCACAGAGCTAGAGAAGGCTTTGTGAGGCTAGTTTGTTTGAACACTGCCTCCAAACAAGTGAACATCAAAAATAAGAGTTCTAAACTTGGCTTCCTAGGTCAAATCTAGACTGGCTTTTAATTTTACGTGCTGCTGGAGAAGAACTGTAAAACTGATAGCACTCTAGCCATAATTCTGCAAACACTAAAGACTAATACCTCGAGAAAGAATCACAGAATGAACAGTTATTAACTCAAACAATATTTTTTTCAACCTAAAAAAATACATTGTAACCAGGATCAAAGTCGACCAAAAGGTTGGATTTACTTTTGACACATAAGCAAAGGCTTCTGAATTCTATTTAGGAAAACCTTTTCTTTCCAAAGTAAGCATGAAGTCTAAAAATAAGATAATCCTCTACAGTTATGTATGTAGTATATGTTCTTTTTCTTCAATTAATCCATTTTAGATTTTCTCTTCCTATCCTTTCATTCTATTTTTTCTTTTATTGGAAAAAAAAGTTATTTAGCCAATTAAAAGACAAGAATTAACAAAGATTTCTCCCAAATTATAATGCAATTAGGAGTTTGGGTAAGAAATAGATATATAAATTTAATAACTTACTGTGAATAAGAAGCTGATTGGTACAACCCACATACCCTCTTTTTCCAGAAAGTCTCCAACCCAAAGAGCCTCGTGAGTCCCATTTTATGCTTAAAATACTAAGATCAGTCTTGAATTCTTTCTTATCAAAAGCAATAGAATGTAAATTATAATTACATTATAGTCTTATTTACAGCAAGCCAAATAATTCTATATCTGAATATATACAATAAAGTATGGTGCCCTGTTAAATACTCAAAAAGTATATAACTATTTAGTCTACTTGAGAGAACTAGGCAGAATATAACACCTAGGTTCTAATCACAGTTCTAAAAAAATATATCACCAAAAATAACATTTAAAATTTCGAAATGTACTTTGTTTAAGAAAATATAAAAATTAACTGCTGTGAGACATTTCTGAGTAGAAAATGTTTTAAATTATTGAATGTGAATAGATATAGACAGCGTAGTTTTGTATACTTGGAGATAAAAAAAATGGGAGAAATAGAAAGACCTTAATAATTAAGAATGATGATACTGTAAATTACAAAATTTAGAAAAAAGTATACTTTTAAAACTGTACTATACCTTGAATTTGTTTTCCTTCCTTTATTTGCAGAGTATAGGTTTTTTTTAACTTTGTTTACTGGATCAACATGTTTGGTCTTTGGCTACATAAAAAGAATTTAAATTATTGATTAGATTCTAACCATTTGCCAAAGAAAGCAATTTCATAATACACAGACTTGCTAGTTTGCTATATAAAGAATTGCTATTTTTATGAAATTAATCAAACAGTTTTTTTAAAATTCCAGAATTGTATGGATGGAAAAGACCTAGATATCATTAGGACCAAGAGATTTCAAGATAAGGATATGAGTCTCAAAGATTCAAGGACATTTAGCTAGCTGGTGAAATGTTAAATTGGATGTTCTGACTCACAGAATTTAGTTCCCCTTACTGATTACTCCCCGGACAGCGTTCGTGTATACTGTTACCTCGGCCTAGATCCCTATGGGTGGGGAAGTTATAGACCACAGTAAGCTCAGTACCTACAAAGTGATCTCTACATGTAAATATTTAAATGAATGAATAAACCTTTTAAATCACATTCTTTGTAAGTGAATAATTTTCTTTTTCAGATCGTCTATCTAGTAAATTTGGGCTTCAGAGAGAGAAAATATCCTTAGGGTTCAGATTCATTTCATTTAGAATTTTTTCTAATGAAGCTCCAAATTGTTCAGTGAAATTATGAGACAAAAACAAATTCATTTTATGAGCAAAATTTCATGAAGACATCTCTTCCGAGTATCAAGGCTTATATTCTATTTCTAGAGTCATACGCCTTCTCTGTTCTGTCTAAGAAAAGTTTTTTAAAAATCTAAATTTTACAGAATGTAATTACATTCACAAAAAGTTTGATTTTATACCTGAGTTTCTGAATGTAGATGAACTGTCCCTTCGAACAGACCTCTATAGACCAAAAATAAACATACATTAATAATAGATGATACTAAGCTGAGACATAATAAAATTCAACAGCAACTATATTTGAAAGGAAAAATATACATCAAGTAGACTTTGCTATAATTCTAGGTATGCATATGTTGATTTATTTAACATGAGTAGTGTCACAAACAAGAGAAGTGCTTTGGTTAAATAATTCACCTTAAAAAGGTGGTACTCAAATCCTCCGACAAGCACATCAAAAATACAACTAAACTCCCGAACAACCATCATGTAGAACTGCCTGAAATCTAGCTGAATGTAAATCCNACACACAAATGTGTAATTACAAATCAGAATGAATTTGGCCAAACCAAAATGAATAGGACATCGGTAAGAGAAAGACAGGAAGACCTTGGACATGGGGTATCTGGGAGGATCTCCTAAAGCAGAGCCAAAGGCTGAGGAGGAAAACATTTGAAAGGTGGAATGAAGAGCTTTCCAGGCAGAACAGAGTGTGTAAGGCTCAGACAGGAAAGGATTTTACTTTCCTAAAGAAACACAAAGAAATGTGAACGGACCTAAGATGAGGCAAGGGCCAGCTCATTCGCATAGGAAGGAGTCTGGATTTTGATATTCAAAGTGCAGTGGGAACTACTGAAGGTTTTTAAGCAAAGGAATAGTACAGATTTATGTTTTATAAAGCACACAACATGAAGATTGAAGTTTAGGGGAGCAAGAAAAGCAGATCAGTTAGGAAACTATTTTCAGTGGTTAATTCAATATAAAAATGTTGACTTGGCGCTTCCAGTCAAGATGGTGGAGTAAGTAAAGGTGGTACTCGCATCCTCCCGTAACCACATCAAAATTACAGCTAAACCAGAGGACAACCTTCACTCAGAACTGCCTGAAGTCTGAATAGAAGTCCTATAACTAAGGATATACAGAAAAGGCCACACCAAGACTGGTAGGAGGGGCGGAGATGTGGAACAAGCTGGTCCCACACCCTCCTTTGGTGGATAAAAGTTGGGAGGGATATCACAGCTAGGGAGGTCGCTCCTGAGGAGTGAGGGGCCCCAGACCCACACCAGGTCCCCGAGCCCAGGGTTCCAGGGCTAGAAAAAGAAGTCTCCATAACTTCTGGCTTTAAACACCAGCAGGGAGTCCTGGCCGACGTGGCTCAGTAGTTCGGGTGTCATCCTGTGCACCTAAAGACTGCTTGCTCGATTCCTGGTCAGTGTACAAGCCCAGGTTGTGACCTTAATCCCCAGGAAGGGGCCTGCAGGAAGCAGCCAGTCAGTTTTGCTCTCAAAGTGATGTTTCCTTCTCTCTCTCTCTTCTGTTCTAAAAATCAATTAAAAATTAAAAACAAAACAAAACCCAGCAGGGATTGTGGCTGAGTAAGACCAAGGCTGCTGGAGTCCCAGGCAGTTCCCCTTAAAGGGCTGGACTTACTCGGACTCACTTCCTCTGAGCTCCAGAGCTCAGGCAACAGCTTGAAAGGAACCAGCCATTTGGGGAGGAACTAAATTATCTAGCATCAGGGCAAAAGCTTGGCTGAGGGGCAGTGTTCTGTCAGATAAAAGTGCAGGCAGAGCCCTGGCTGGGTAGCTCAGTTGCTTAGACCTCATCCTGATTCACCAAGGTTCCATCCCCAGTCAGGGCACATACAAAAATCAACCAATGAATGCATAAATAAGTAGAACAACAAATTGATGTTACTCTCTCCCTTTCCCCTCTCTCTAAAATCAGTGAATAAATTTTTTTAAAAAATTTAAGTGCTGGCAGAGGCCACTGTTACTTTTCTGAGACCCCCGCCATAGAACTGGCAGGTGGGTGCCATATCTGAGTTTCTATGCTCACACTGTTTGTCCCACCCTGGTGATTCCCTGAAACCCTGTCCCACCCAACTTGTGAGCCCACTCAAGCTGTTTCCAGTGGCTTTTCCATATGAATTGCCTATCTTGGCCCATGCTTCGGACTTTCATAAAATGTCTCCAACAAGCAACATATGGCCTCAGTATGCCCCATACCTCTAGCTGAGGGAACCCTGGCCCGGAACTAGCAGCAGCCAGCTTTGGTTCACAGCTTAGTCTTGCCAGGGCACCTCCAAGCCCAGCACAAGTAGCAGCCATCTACAGATCACTTTGTAGCTCATGCTGGGTGGCCCCGGGAAGAACACAGGTGGAAGCTGACCTTAGCCTGCACCTCTTGGGAGGCCTGAGCCAGTGTACCCAGTGGACAGCTTCAGACCACATCAAAGCACCACCCAACTGGCCTGGGGGGTAAATCCCTTCCATTGACATGCCAACAGCAATCAAGGCTCAACAACAACAGAAGGGTGGACACAGCCCACACAGGGGGGTTGCACCTGAAGTGCCCACCTCAAGTAAATGGGGAGGCAATACCACTGGACACCCACTACATAAGGCCACTCTACCAAGCCCAGGGGACATAGCAGCTCTACCTAATACATAGAAACAAACACAGGGAGGCAGCCAAAATGAGGAGACAAAGAAACATGTCCCAAACGAAAAACAGAACCACCCTCCAGAAAAAGAACTAAACAAAATGGAGACAAGTAATCTATCAGATGTAGAGTTCAAAACACTGGTTGTAAGTATGTTCAATGAACTCAGTAAGACCTTCAACAAAGAGGAAACATAAAAAAAGAGATAGAAAACATTAAAAAAAAAAACCTAAATGAAGAATACATTAACTGAAAGGAAGAATACATTACAAGGAATCAACAGTGGAGTAGATAAAGCAGAGGATCAAATCAGAGATTTGGAATATAAGGAAGCAAAACCCCTCAATCAGAACAGCAAAAAGAAAAGAATCCAAAAAACTGAAAATAGTGTAAGGAGCCTCTGGAACAACTTCAGTGTACCAACATTCGAATCACGGGGATTCCAGAAGGAGAAGAAATACAGCAAGAAATTGAAAACCTATTTGGAAAAAAATGACAGAAAATTTCCCTAACCTGGTGAAGGAAATAGAGATTCAAGTCCAGGAATCCTTTGTGCCCCTTTGCAATTAATGCCCTCCCCTCCCTTGAACCCCACACAACCACTTATCTGATTTCTGTCCCTGTAATTTTAACTTTTCCAGAACATCAACTAAATGGAATCATACAGTATGTACAATTTTTTGGTCTGGTTTCTTCGACTTAGCATCTATATTGATGCTTTATCAGTAGTTCATTGCTATTTATTCCCAAATAGTATTCCATTGCATGGATATACCATGATTTGTTTATACATTCACCACTTGATGGATATTGAGTTGTTCCCAAGTTCTAGCAATTATGAATAAGACTGCTATAAACATTTGCATGCAAGTCTTTGCTTGGAAATATATCCTCATTTTTCTTGATTAAATAGCTAGAGGAGAATTGCTGGATCATATGCAATAATTATTTCTGAGTACCTGAATAATGTCCCAATATCTCAAGTCTGAGCCACATATACTGCCACTTAAGTACATTTCTTTTTTGTTTCTAAGCTCTCTAATGTGTTTAAATATTATACCCTAAATTAGTGCTGTGTTAACTCTCACAGCCTGCTGCTTCATCTTAGAAGACTGGGAGGATCGACAGCTATTTTAATATTTAAACAGTAACAATTTAGATCCATCACTCTTAAAGTTTCTTTGCTGGTATAACTCTCAAAAACTAGTGAGTTTCTGACTTATTTGATTCCAGTTGGTTCCATGTGCCATTAGCACACCCACAATGCTTTCCAAGACTCTGTCTTTACCCTGAACACCTCCTCCTCCTCTCCCCGCCCTCCTCCCGATCCCAATTAAAAAATGGGTTGTTTGAAGTTGTCACACTTCTATGGGGAGACTATACCTACAGTTAGATCTTTGCCATTTTATCCAATTGGAAAATTTCACTAGGTGCCATTTAGTATGATCCTTGCCTGGAAGAACCTTAATCCACTGGAAAATGTTATCCATAGTTGGGAAGACCACACTTTTAGTCTGACCTTTGCCTCAAGGTTGGGCTTTAATAGGCTTTTGTTCCTCGAAGATTTTCTAAATTTTATCTCAATTTTTGAGGTCCAAAAACAACTAACTCTACAAAGCAAGGATAATCAAAACAGTGTAGTCCAATTAAAAAATGGGCAGAGGCTCTGAACAGACATTTTCCAAAGCAGACATACAGATGGCCAACAGGTACATGAAAAGATGCTCAACATCACTAATCATAAAGGGAATGGAAATCAAAACCACAATGAGCCCAGCTGGCGTGGCTCAGAGGTTGAGCATCAACCTAGGATCCAGGAGATTGAGGTTTGATTCCTGATCAGGGCACATGCCTGGGTTGCAGGCTTGATCCCCAGTAGGAGGTGTGCGGGAGGCAAGCAATCAATGACTCATCATTGATGTTTCTCTCTCTCTCTCCCACTCCCCTCCTCTCTCTGAAATCAATAAAGATATATATATTTTTTAAAAACAGAACACAGTGAGATAACACTTCACACCTGTTAGAATATTATCAAAAAGATAAGAGATAAATGCTGGTGAGGATGTGGAAAAAAGGAACCTTGTGCACTGTTGGTGGGAATGCAAATTGGTGCAGCCACTATGGAAAACAGTGTGGAGGTTCCTCAAAAAATTGAAAAGATAACTACCATATGATCCAGCAATTCCACTTCTGAGTACTAATTTGAAGAAAACAAAAACACACATGAAAATACGTATGCAGCGCCCTATGTTCACTGCAGCATTATTTACAATAGCCAAGATGTAGAAACAACCTGAATGTCCATTGACAGATGAATGAATGAAGATGTGGTATATAAATACAATGGAATATTATTCAGTCATAAAGAAGACCCATTTGTGATAACATGGATGGACCTTGAAGCCATTATGCTAAATTAATAAGTCAGACAGAAAAAGACAAATATCATATGATATCATTTATATGTGGAACCAAAAAAAAAAAAAA